AATGCAACATCATTTTCAGGCACTTTTAAAAATTGTCCACTCATCACATTCTGAAGGCAAGGGTCTGGGAATAACAACTGAAACTGCTGCATTCACATGAATTTTCAAGCAATTCAAGTGAAAAATTGCAAAAGAATTGTCCCAACCTTTTAAAAACCAAAACTGGGGCTTAGAGATACACTTTCCCTACTCCCAAGTTATAGCAAAGGAAAGTAAAATATATCAATCCCTAGCTCCTTTCCAAATCTACACATGAAAAGCATCTGAATTCTTTGGTTCCAGAGGTGAAATACAATATGAGCAAGTTAGATGGTGAACAATGTCCTGATCTTCCAGCTGATCAAGATACTATACTCCTTTTGATGCAACCCAAAAACCTAATTGGCTTTTTTTTTTGCTACCGTATCCTACTGTTGGCTCATGTTCAACTTGTTGTCCATGAAGACTCCAAGATCTTTCTCACATGGACTGTTGTCGAGCCAGACATCACCCATTTTGTATCTTTGCATTTCATTCTTTCCTGCCTAAGTGTAGTATCTTACATTTGTCCTTGTTGAAATTTAACAAAGCCTTCAAGTGGTCTCTGCAAGTTTCAAAATGTTTTGTGTACTTATTTGAGGCTTTCCTGAAGTAGTTGATTCATTACACATGCGCATAATTGCATTTTTTTTTTAAAAAAAATGTTAGACCGTGTTGAATTTCCACTCTTTTTATCAGTGTAGGGCCCTATCCCTATTTTCCCATATCATTTATATCTTAAGTACCAAATTTTCTGCTAAGGAAATAATTGCTAAGTATGTATCTAATTTGTTAACTGAGGTGTGCCTAGATACTAAAGAAATGCATATTTTTATACGAGTTACCTCAATGTCTCACTTTAATGATGTCTCAAATCTTGGGTTTCTTGCCTACTACACAAGACCCTTGTAAAAAGGGAAAGGAAAGAAAGGTGAAGGAGAGAGAGAAGTGACTTTTGAGTAAGACAAATGAGAAATACTGTTTGCTGGGGGGAAGAGTCACCACTGAAGCACAGGGATTTTTCTTTGTTACTCAGTTCTGCATTCCCTGTTGAGAGAAATATAGGAGGGGGCTGCCCACATCATGTACTAGCATGATGCATTATGTCATTATAGTCATTATGGATACATTAGAAAGTTTTCAAGGGTACAGAAATGACAGCCGAGTTGCCAAATTGCCGTGGCCTATTCTCCTTTAGCAATGTAGCATTTAAAAGGGCCCCAACTGGTCATAAAGCACTCCTTGGTTTCATTTTCTTTCTGCCACCATTAAAAGATTTAACAAAAAGCAAAGGTTTCGACTGCTAATCTCTTTGTCTCCCACAGAATAACAGAATATGCTCTTGCATATCTTTTGTACTGCTGCTCTAATGGACTTTTTTTTTAAAGACATTTATTCATATGACTCATGGGAAAACATTTACCACATTACATGCTGTTTTACTCCTTCCACATGCCATCAGAGAGAAATACCACTTTTATCCAATACAAGGGCAAAGTTCAAGATAGCCTGTTCTTATAAGATGAAGAGTTTGTCACAGGATAAATATCTAAATGAGGTCCCAGTACCCCTGTTATTTAACATCTACGTCCGACCACTTGCTGGACTGGTGCGGAGCTTTGGCATAGAGTGCTACCAGTATGCAGATGATACCCAGCTACTCTTGCGTCTCGAACCTGGAACAACCGCGATTCCTGAGAACTTTAAGCTGTGTTTGGAAGCAGTTCTGAGTTGGCTGTGAGCGAGCAAACTAAAAGTGAATCCTGCAAAAACAGAGATACTCTGGCCTGGCCAGCTGCCAGAATTAACCCAGTCTCTGCCTGATTTCGATGGGGAAGCTCTGGTTCCCTCTGCCACTGTTAAAAGCCTTGGGGTTGTGTTGGACTCATCGCTGACAATGGAGGCCCAGATCACTGCCATAAGTAAGCAGGCCTTTTTTCATCTTCACCAGGGAAGGAAATTGGCATCCTACCTTTCGGTAGAAGCATTGGCAATTCACGCAACAGTCACCACGAGGTTGGACTATTGCAACACCTTATATGCCGACCTTCCGAAGTCAACAACCCAGAAGATTCAGATGCTCCAAAATGCAGCGGCCAGGCTGCTAGCGGGATCATCTATAAGATCCTATATTACACTGATTTTGCAACAACTGCATTGGCTACCAATAGAACATCGGATCTCTTACAAGATACTGATCCTGACATTTAGAGCTCAAAATGGCCAAGGACCTTTATATCTTAGGGACAGCCTCATTCCTTTTCTCCATCAGTGGTCCCCTCGATCCACCCAGGAAAATCTCCTATACATACCGGGCCCTAGGGAGGTACACCTGGAAGCTACAAGGTGTAGAGCTTTTTCGACCTATGCTCCAATTCTGTGGAACTCATTGCCTCCATACATTAGAGCAATGTTGGAGTTGTGACCTTTTGTAAAGGCACTCAAGACTTGGCTGTTTGGTTGTGCATTTAAGTAATCAGAT